CAAGAAAACTATAGACCAATATACTTTATAAATATAAAAACCCTCAACAAAATACTAGCCAATGGAATGCAGCAGCATATAAAAAGGATTATACACCATGACCTTGTGAGATTTATCCCAGGAGTGCGAGATTCGTTGAACATATGTAAATCACTCAATGTAACTCACCATATAAATAGAAAACAAAAATATGGTCATTTCAATAGAAATGGAAAAAACATTTGACAAAATCCAACACCCTTTCATAACAAAAACACTCAAAAAAACTAGGAAGAGAAAAGAACTTCCTTAACTTGATAAGATCAACTACCAAAACCCCACAGTTAACATCAGACTCAATGGTGAAAGACTAGAACTTTCCCCTCTAAAATGAGGCACAAGATAAGGATGTTTACTCTTAACACTTCTATTCAACATTATACTGGAATTTCTAGCCAGGGCACTTAGGCAAGAAAAAGAAAGAAAAGTTATTCAGATTGGAAAAGCAAAAGTAAAACTATCTTTACTTGCAAATGATATGACTCTGTATAAAACTTTTAGAAGAAGGCATAATCATAAATTTTCATGACATTGGATTAGGCAATGGATTCTTAAATAGGACACCAAAAGCATAAGAAACAAAAGAAAAAATGGATACATTTGACTTAATCAAATTTAAAAAAATTTGTGCTTCAAATAACACCATCAAGAAAGTGAAAAGACAGTATTTAGAATATATATAGTATATCCAGAATATATAAAGAAACAAAAAATACAAAAAAAAAGACAAAGATATATAAAGAACACAAACTCAACAATAAAAAAAAAACCCCAAATAACCCAATTAAAAAATGGGCAAAGCATTTGAATAGATATTTCTCCAAAGAAGAAATACAAATGGCCAACAGGCACGTGAAAAGATGCTCAGCATCGGGGCTTCCCTGGTGGCGCAGTGGTTGAGAGTCCACCTGCCGATGCGGGGGACATGGGTTCGTGCCCCGGTCCAGGAAGATCCCACATGCCGCAGAGCCGCTGGGCCCGTGAGCCATGGCCGCTGAGCCTGCGCGTCCGGAGCCTGTGCTCCGCAACGGGAGAGGCCACAACAGTGAGAGGCCCGCATTCTGCAAAAAAAAAAAAAAAAAAAGATGCTCAGCATCATTAGTCATTAAGGAAGTGCAAGTCAAAACCACAATGAGATACCAATTCGAAACCACTAGGAAGGTTAAAACAAGAAATACAGACAATAACAAGTGTTGGTGATGTGGAGAAATTGGAACCCTCTTAAATTTCTGGTGGGAATGGAAAATGATGCAGCCACTTTGAAAAAAAGTTTGGCAGTTGCTCAAAATGTTAAATACAGAGTTACTATGTGACCCAGAAATTCCACTCCTGGGTATATAATCAAGAGAATTGATAACATATGTCCACACAAAATCTTGTACAGTAATATGAAACTTGTTTATAGCAGTGTTATTCATAATAGCCCCCAAATGGAAACAATCCAAATGTCCATCAACTGATGAAAGGATAAACAAAACATGGTACCTCTGTACAACGGTATATTATTCAGCCATAAAAAAGGAATGAACAACCAATACATGCTACAACATGGATGAACTTTGAAAACATTATGCCAAGTGAAAGAAGCCAGACACAAAAGACCCCATATTGTATAATTCCACTTACATGAAATGTCCAGAATAGACAAATCCATTGACAGGAAGCAGACTAGTGGTCGCCAGGGGTTAGTAGGAGGGAAGAATGGGGAGTGACTGCTAACAGGTACAAGGTTTCTTTTTTGGAGTGATAAAAATGTTCTGAACTTAGATTAGGTAAAAACCACAGAACTGTACACTTTAAATGACATATGTAACTTTTATTTCAATTTTTTTAAAAAAGTAGGCATATTGTAGATAGAAAAAGGGATCCAACATACACAGAATAGAATTTCATGAAGAAGAAAATCAAAACAGAATTGGGAGGTTGGATTGACATATATACACTAATATATATAAAATAGACAACTAACGAGAACCTGCTATATAGCACAGGGAGCTCTCCTTCATTTTGCTGTACAGTAGAAACTAACACAACATTTTAAAACAACTATACTCCCCCCCACCCCCAAAAAAGAAAACGAAAACCAAAACAAAGGAAACAGAACAAATCCTCAAAATTATAATTTATGAAAAATTTCCTGAAATAAAAAGGATACGAAACTGTATATTCAAAGAGCACACCGCAAAATATAACAAAAAGGAAGCAGACTCACAGATACAGAGAACACTAGTGGTTACCAGTGGGGAGAGGGAAGCGGGGAGGGGCAATATAGGGCTAGGGGGTTAAAAGGAACAAACTATTAGGTATAAAATAAGCTACAAGACTATATTGTACAACATGGGAATATAGCCAATATTTTATAATAACTATAAATAGACTGTAACCTTTAAAAAAATAAAGTTTTGTAAGTTAAAAAACTACAAAGAACATACCACAAGCCTGAATAAACCAACCTAAAAAACAACATCAAGACATATAATAAAATTACTGATCTTTAAAAAAAAAAAAAAAAAGAAATATCCTTTGGGCATATTGGCAAAAAAGAACACGACTTATAGGAGAAAGAAAATTGTTTTGTCATCAGACTTTTGACAGCAGTGCTTTATACCAGAAGAAAATGGAATAACATATTAAAGAAAGTGCGAGCCAAGGATTTTATAACCAGCAAAACAGACCTAAAGAACAGAGATGAATTATCGACATAAAAGAACTCAGAGAGGGACTTCCCCGGTGGTGCCGCGGTTAAGAATCCACATGCCAGTGCAGGGGACACGGGTTCGAGCCCTGGTCCAGGAAGAACCCACATGCCACGGAACAACTGAGCCCTTGAGCCACAACTACTGAAGCCCGCGTGCCTAGAGCCCGTGCTCCGCAACAAGAGAAGCCACCGCAATGAGAAGCCCGCGCACGGCAACGAAGAGCAGCCCCCACTTGCCGCAGCTAGAGAAAACCCACGCGCAGCAACAGAGACCCAAAACAGCCAAAAATAAATAAATTTATTAAAAAAAAAAAAAGAACTCAGAAACTAGTCTTCCTATGAGCCCTTCCTGAGGAATCTTCTAGGAATGAACTTCATAATTACTAGAGTGAGGAAAGGATTAACAGTGAGTATGAAAAGATATTTGTGTGTAAAACTAAGCCTTAGCGAGGGCTAGAGGGGAGAGTTTATGGTTTACAATGGCAGATGCTCTGACAGTGAAGAAATAGGACAACCATTTAAATACATGAGAGGAAGATGGGGAGAGTATGTGCAAAAATTAAAAAAAACCCTCTAATCGTAATTAGAGGTGGTAGTATTACTATTGCTACTCTGAGATTGTGTAAAGTGTGATAAAGCATCCCCTGTATCCTTGAGACCAAGGTTTTCAGTGTGGAGGAAAAGAGATACAAATGTAATATAGAAGAGATTAAGTAAAAACACTAGTCCTGAAGTTGAACTGGAAACAGCACGTAATCTTTATGTGTATGCACGTATGCATGTGTGTGTGTACCTTTTTTACCCCGCTCTGTTCACTGAAAAGATCAAGAAACGATTTAAAAAAAAGAATGCTAGCATATTAAAAATGTTTATTAAGGCATGGTTCCTCTGTTTCTTTCCATAGGACTAAAAATACCTCTTGGTATTGGTGTCATGAAGATGAATATATTCTCAGTTGAAAGTAACTTGAGTCACACAAACAATCGAACAGTAGCGGTGGTTTATATTAATAATGAACAATCTCAGATCCTTGTCACCTGAGCTGCGTGTCTAGCTATAACCTGTCTGCCTTCGCTGTAACAAGAGAAAGTTGGTTGAAATGATTTCTAAGGTCTTTTTTATTGCTGTGAGTCTGATCATCATTCCACATTATTACACGGAATATGTGCTTTTCTGCACTTCAGCATACTGTGCCTTATTTAAATGCACATTAGGAAACACTTTTCTGAAGCGCCTTTACCTGCCATGACACCTTCTCTGTGGGTCTTCCCTCTACGATCGCTTTTCTCTGGAACCACAGGCATCAGGAGGCGATTGATTGGCTAAGGAAAGTGTGTTGCCACCAAACTTTGGGTTCCTCTGCAGGCATCTGAAAGGCTGAGCTGGGCCTATACAACTGATAGTGTGAAAAAGTTTCCAAGATGAGAGAAAACCACAAATTTCAAAACAGTATACAGTAAAACAACATTGGGGTTTGAAGAAAGTATGTGGAAATATTCACTTATTTTACCTTGCAGTTTTCTCCCGGGAGTACAATATGGTGGGTGGAAAAATGCTATGAGAAATGGGGGGGCATTACCTTTCTTTCCACATATCCTTATGCAGCTGCTTAAAACTATTTTAAAACTGAAGAATCATAAAGTGCACATAGTAAAACGTACAGCTTGATGTATTTTTCACAAACTGAATATTCTCGTATAATCAACACCTAGATAATGAATCAGCACAACCCCAGACCCCAGGCCCCCCTCATGCCCTCTTCCAGTCAGCACCCACCACCTTGGGTAACCACTATCCCTATCCCTGTGCTGTTAATTTTTTATGAGCATGAGTCCTTCTACAATATAAAATATCAAAAGAAAAACAGCCTCAAAGTAAGGATTCCATTTATTTATCCAAAACCCAAACGATATAACCTATTCTAGAAAACCAAAAGTAAATGTGGGTCACTATCTCCAAGAAGCTCACAGACAAATTAAATAACAGCGCTGGTGGAAACCAATACAGTTTGTTTCCAGCGTAAGGGAACGCTGGGGGAAGCTGAGGAAGGTTTCACAGAAAGGTAGGGCTTTGGAGAATGAGGAAGAGCTGGCTATCGACTGTTGCAAAATGTACAAAGGCTAGAAAGAAACGTTGTGAGCACAAATGAAGCTGGCTCTTTAAGACACCTGTTTATGGGGAGGCCTGGTTACAGGTTAACCCTAGCTGTTTTGGCTTCTGAAGCCACCAGTCAGAATGACATCACTGTTATCAGGTTACTCGGATGGAGGGCATTTGCTGGCCGTGTAATGCGGAAAAGGAAGTCCCGGGGAACGCACCCCTCCTTGCCCAGGAGGGGAAAGCCATGCAGCGCCCAGAGGCTGGGAAGCCTATCATCAAATTCAACCACTGTCAGAAGTACATCTACAGCTTCAGCGCGCCGCCCTGCTGCCCCCTCTGCCGGCAGGACGTGGGCTCCAGGAAGCTGGAGGAAGCGCCTGTCAGCATCCCTAATCCGTTTTCCGATGGGCATCAAGAAGAGTGTTCATTCCTCCTCAGACCAACTCAAGGGACGTTTCTTAGGTACAGTGTTTTATGTGTTGTATTGGATTGTGCAAAGCTTTCCTTCTCTGTTTCAGTCACTTAAACTTTCTTTTTCTAACGTGCTACGTACAGTGTGAGATTTGGTGGATAATCTTTTTCAGCGGTCTGGTGTTAAATCCTAAAATGTAGGCCTTTTTGTCTCATAAGAATAGAAGGGTGCATACTTTCCTGGAATGATAAGTGCAAGAATATACGAAGGTCAAACCTGCTTATACAATTTTAAGAGAGAGGAATCGATAGCCTGGAGATTTTTTTTACCCATAGATTTTGTGCCAAGAAGCTAACTGGGAAAATGACCCAGCAGCTAATCTCATCAAAATAATACCTTTACTTCGAGTTAGTTTGTAACATTGGCGACAAGCAGGTACCTTGCACAGAGCCTGAAGAATGGCCACGTACAGACTATCTTGCATGGAGGTGCATGAAATTGAGACTAGAGCTGGTCTGTTTCAATGGTAGACGTCACCTGACTTTAAGAAATATTTCAGAAATCAAAAGAAAGGATGGTGCCTTCTTAGAGTCCTGAGTTTACAGGTGAATTGGAACTGGCCCTGCACAAGCCAGGTTTCAAGAGAACAGTGATGAGTAACGGTGCGAGCTTTGGAAAGTGTGTCGTGCACACTATTATGGTCTGATGCCCAGACCTTCCTGCCTCCTTGAAACATACCCTCCTGAGTCCCTCGTGCCCTCTAGTGCCGGTCTGGGATAAGAAACTTGGAGTTGACTACTTTCCTGCTCGCTAACTTCCTTAATCAATTTCCTTCCAGTCCCTACGGGGATGAAACGAACCGACGTGTGTACAAGGCATTGGCCAAACACTAGGGGCACAACAGACTGTACTCCTGACCCTTCCTCGGGGAGGCAGCGGGATGCAGAGGGGACCGTGCAGGCTTGTACGCCAAGAAGCCACCCATTCCTACCCTGATTCAGACCAGCTCCAGGACCCTCTCCAAGTCTCTGGCTCCTCACCTGTAAAATGAGGACCCGCTGACCTTGCAGAGTTGTGAGGGTCAGCGAAAAGGCCTATAAAGCTGGCCCGGGTGCCAGGCACGACGTTGAACCAACACGCTCCTTCCTGTCCCAATATTTTCATACTCAGCTCAGAACGTGACTGGCAGAACCTTCATTTCTACCTTAACCAGAATCATGAAGCCCAAACTGTTTTATAAGGCCCCTCATTCATGCTAACTTGGAGTTAGTAACTAGTTGGATTCCGAAAGCTTTTGAACAGAGGTTAAAATTCAGAATTCATTTCCTGTAACGCTGGTTCATTCAACAGGTCCTCACTGAGCAGCTCTGTGTGGGAAATGCTAGGGATGTCACAGTGAACAAGCTGCAGCCCTGCTCTCCAGAAATGACACAACATGCGATAGGCTTTCAGGCTACCCCTGAAAAGCATTCATCTCTTCTGTGATGTGGTGGTGACACTAACAGGCCTGGCCTCCCTCGGCAGCAGCAGAAAGGAGGTGGTGGTGTTGAAATACATCGTGTGCTTAGACATCTGCCTATCCCCCCTCAGGAGCTCAGGCCAGGATCTGCAGAACCCAAGTAGCCCCCTGCCCACCAGTCCCTCGAAGGCCAAGTTCCAGACTATTTTTTTCCCTCTCATCCTGTTTCTAAACCCTCAGGACCAACTCCCACAACTCATCTTGAGACAATTTCATCTACTTCGTAAGAGAACCAGCAGTGACTCAAAGGAATCACGGAGGCTCTGATCTAACTAGATGAGGATCCCTCAGGGCTGCCACATAGGGTTGTGCAGCTTGTGGACTGCACAAAGGCACCTGGCCAAGGCAGTGGCGGGTACTGAAGTTCAGCCTGCATTCCACTCACCCTGGGCAGCACCCTGGCAGAGATGCATCTGCAGGAAGAAGGGGCACCTTTTCTTAATCTGTACAAAACTTTCATATGGGATAGGGGAGGCCCTGGCCCTGCCCCATCACATGCTTCTGTAACACTTCTCAATCTATTAACAACTTGTTAAACTAAAACTAAAAAAGTCTCTTCTGGAAGCAGCCAAACCCTGTGAGGCAGGGACCTCATTTCCCGTTGTGTCACTAGCCCTTCACTTCAAATGACAGGCCCATAGTTGACATGTTACATGAACGAGAAATAACTGAAGGAGAGGGAGGACAGCGGGAGTGAGAGGGAGCGCCTGGGATTTAGGCAGGAAACAGAGAGGCTGTATGTGCAGGGAGTGATCTGGGGATGGCACACATCCAGGTCCAGCACCGTGATCGGCCACCCAAGACTTACTGTTTTTCCCAGCTTCATTCTCAACCTCTGAACCCACAGGGTCTCAGAAAACTCACAGTGGCTGCAACAAGACGGCCTGGCGGGGGGGGGATTGCTCTGAAGAGGTGGGGCAGCCGTTTGTGTCCTTGGCCATTGAAAACCCCGGGACTGCTTGCTTTAAGGAGGAACCAAACATTCAGAACTGTGGTCTGACAAAGGAGCTCGTCATTTAAAAATTACCTGACTTATCTGACACCTCTACATGGTAGCACTCAATAGGCATTTTATTCTTACAATCAGCTTGCTAGGAGGCTTATGCTATTTCCATCTTACAGGTGAGAAAGTCTCGGAGCAAATAAGTGATGGCCTGGGATCATACATAGAGGTTAAATTACCTGGAGTTGGACATCTAATGCACAGTCTCGGGGGAAGAATAATTTCAGGAAAGAAGGGCTGTCCAGGAAAAGTGAGTGTGGCCACAGGCTTCAAGACCATATTAGTTTCAAACGTGGAAGTCCACCGAGATGCTTTCAGGGCCCTCTCACCCACGCTGGCCTGAGGAACAGGCTGCCCTCTCACACTTGAGGAGGAAAGGATCAGGAGCTTCCTGGACAGCTAACAGCCGGGTGGGCCCCTCTGCTGCAGAGCCGGGCGTCATGCTGATGTTACGCTCCGGCAGGGCTGGCCTTCCAGCACACTCACCTTTAGGGCTGCGGGGGCCAAGAAAACCCAGAGCGGGTGCAGGGCGCTGTTTTCTACCTCACACGCACTGCGGGCCTTTCCACTAACCCGGCCTCTGGCACCGGCCGAGAGGGGAGGCCCGCTGTTCTCCCGCTTTAAACAGCAATTCTACACACCGAGTGTGTGCAAATGAGAGGACAAAATCCCTCTTGTTTCTTCTAGGGAGTATGACGGAAGGTCTGATCTTCATGTGGGGATAACCAACACAAATGGTAAGTGTACTTTCATAGCTTAAAAACTTCCCCCAATACCTGGTTAGAAGAGAGCAGTATTTCTAGAGAAAAAGCATTGTGGCAACATTACTAACAACACTAAGTATCTGAAAGCTCTTTAATGTTTTCTCAGCCAAGAGCTGAGAAAACATTAAGAACATTGCAAACCTGTATGTTTTTTGTTAGTTTTTACGAGAGGAAGAAACAGACATCCAGAGAGGTTGAGTTGTCCAAGACCTCATCTTGTGTTAGAAGCAGACCCTCTGCTCCCAATGCTATACTCAGCCCACTGCCACTGGGTCCTCATACTCCGGGTCTCCAGGGGCCAGGCAGGAACACCAGGGATAAACTGGGGGGACACAGCACCTGCGCGTGCGGTAGGGTCTGCGAAAGTTTGCTTTAAAAAAATCAGAAAAGCAGCACACTTAAATATAATGGTTCCTTTGGCCAGATTTAGCTTGGAGGGCACAGTCTGCAGGAAAAGGCCTGGAGAGTGCCGCCAGCAGGAGAGTGCAGGCCTGGGAATGGTGAGCGAGGCCAGCCACTTGCGGCTGCGATCAGGTCCCACAGGTGAAGTCTGATTACAGCCCTTGCTGCTCCCTTGAGGCAGGAGAACTGAACTGTGGACAGAAACCTAGGACTGGGTTTTGAACTCACTGACTGTCACGAACAGTCAAATCTGCACCAGTCTTTGTCAGGAGAAACGTACTGCTGATTTAAGGAAATGAGACGGACGCCTTTGTAGACAAAGAACGTCAACAAAAATATCTGGAGATGATCACCCCAGCACCTATTACTGTCTCATTTCTCTGGGACAACCTCGGGTGCTGAGAGCAAGGAGGCAGAGGCTCCCTGGAGGAGGGGGTTCGAGAGCTCTCGGACTGCAATCGGGAAGTGCTGTCTGGGCTCCTGTCGCGTGCAGTTAGCAGGTGGCTGCCGTCAGGTTCACCGGGGTGCGTTTCCCCTGACGCCTCCGTGTGATTTTGGTTTTGGCGGCAGGAGTCGTGTATAATTACACGGCGCACGGCGTCCAGCGAGACGAAGCGGGCTGGGGGCAGAGCGTGAGCATCCCGCTCCTGCAGCCTGGCATGTTCGGACTGATGGACCAGTGGGACAAGTACCTGGAAGACTTCTCCACCACGGGGGCCTGGCTGCCTCACAGGTAGGACAAGGCCCTCACTCACCACCAGGTGCCATCACAGCTCACAGAAGACGCTAAGCTGCACTGACTTTCATGTTGAGCCTGTACTGGGATAGTAGCGTCTGTAACAGAATTAAGCAGGGGCTGAATTACTTGGGGTTTCTGCAGAGGTGAGCTAGCACACATTTCCCCAATAGAACCACAGCACTCTAAGAGCTGAAGGGACCAGACCTTAGTACTCTAATTATTTTACTTATTTGACTCTTTTACACACTCGACATTTAATAATACGTACAGCAAAACCCACAGTATTATATTCCCTTAAAACAAAACAATTTTAAATGAGGTTCAAAATGTAAACCTATCTAACGCTCCCCCCATTTTAAGTTTCAGCAAGTTTGAAATTAATTTATCGATTCCTTGCCCCCTTATCACTGTAGAAGATAGACAGCACACTTGTGGACTTAAATTGTTCTGATGCTTCCCTTGAAATAAGTTTAGACACTGTAGGATATCATAAAACTCAGACATGGAATTCCACTTCGAGAATCTAGAATTTCAGTGAAATTAAGTTCTCCAAATTGGGGCCTATATGCAACTTGAGTCACCACTCTGGACATCTCGATGAGTCCTAGCTGTACTTAGGCTGCAAGCAGAAATAGCCCCAGATGCCAAGTGTCCCTCTGAACTGCACCTCTGGACACTCTGTCATCAAGGGGGCCAGCACACATGGGGGCCCAGCTTGCAGCGAGGTTAAAATTATGAAAGGCCTTGGGCAGCTCAGGGCTAAGCCTTGTCTTCTCAACATCCTTGCCCCGTAAGGTACAAAGAAGACCACCACAACTGCTACAGCTACGCCCTCAAGTTCATTAACTGCGTCCTGGCCACACAGGGCGAGAAGCGGCTGGACCGGGACGAGTTCACGGAGAAGTTCGTGATCCCGAGGACGAGGAAGGCTTCCAAGTACATCATGCTCTACCGCATGATAGAAGAGCACGGCTTCTACGCCATCGAGCCCCCTGGTCCCCAGACAAGCCCACGTCCGGGAAGCGGCTCGTGCTGAGCGCGCATCGCGCCGGAGAGCAGACAGGAAGGGATGTCTGGGGGTTCCCGCCTGGAACAGCTACTGGGCCTCTACATGTCTTCAACTGTGGTTAATAAAAAAAGAGTTACACGGCTTCCCTTTACGCATATTTCAGCTTACTGCAGTGTAAGAATTTACGAAACGAATAAAAATTGTCCTGGGTTTTCAAAATTGTAGGCACCACAGCTAAAATTGTTTTCACAGTAGTTTGGGGTCCATGTTACAGCGTAAAGTGGCAGCATCTTTTATTCACAGAGCAATGAGAACTCTTCCTACAAATTAAGTAGGGAACAAATTCACCTTTCAACGTGAATCCAGAAATTGGGGATTTGTAGAAAGAGACCCTTACAGTTTTTGAAGTAATGACTGCCCTCACCTCATTGTTTTTATGTAAAAAGCACATGGTAACCTTTTGACAATCAATAATAGGTAAAAGAAAAAAAAAAAAAGAAAAAAGGTCCCAGAATCAGAGCCGGGAACCATGCACTCCTCCTGGGTCAGCCTTTCTGTGTCTACGCGCACAAACAGGATTGGCAATTCCTCAATCAACCTGCTTCCCTGGCTTGAGGTGGGGAGTTGGGGTGTTGGAGTTACCACAGCGAATCACCTCCTCTGCCCACTCTAGGTGCAGAATTCAGAAAGGACACGATGAAAGTCCGTCTTCTTTCTCTCACACCTTCAGGAGGAGGAAGGGGACGACCGAGATGAGTAACCACAAGGATTGTTAACAAGCACATTAGAATTTTTACACCCAGATAATCAGACTTTAAATAGCCAGTGAGCAAAACATTTCAGGATTCCTCTTTGGAAACTGCTTCCAGAACTCTTTGTTTTTGACCAAACGTGATAGATATACTATCCACCTAATCTTATTCCTCAGCGTGGGCACCGAATGATGTCTAATTTCCAAAAGCCAAACCCATCTTCAAGGTAGCTATAGTTACTCAGTAATAAAGATATTCCGAAAACTTGCTACAGATTCTTCAAGCTTGTTTCCAAAGAGGCACTGGTCAGTGTTCCACACTAGCGACTTCAGTGGGAAAACATGCAGGCAGCTCAACATTTCCGTTTGTTAAGTTATAGGACTGCTCTTTAAGAAATACAAAACTTCCTAGCTAGAAAATGAGACCACCTTAAACAACCTGCCTGCTACTCTGTATTCAAGGAATGATAAGGACCTCGGCGGGTAAAGATGAAAGGAGCGTGGGGTGTGGGGGATATTCCGATTTGCCCCATTCTCTATACGCTCTGTCTTAGGACTCTGCTTCCCTGGTCCAGTTCTTTTACCCTATTACTAGTCGTCATAACAGCTGCAGTGAACGTGTATCCGTAAGACTCCACACCCGAGTAAACACTTCTTCCTCTTCCCTTTTAATCTCTAAGACCATCCTGTGAGGTACGTACTGACATCATGCCCATTTTACAGATGACAAGGGAAACGGACTTGCCCAACGGCACCCAGTGGCAAAACCAGGGTTCAGACCAGGTTTGACTGCAAAGCCTGTGCAGTTACCTCCAGCACCTAGCAACCCGAAAGCGACCAGTGGCACGCACGGTGTACGGCAACTGGGTCAGCAACTTGCCATCGTTAGAGAAGATAAGCATTCTGCTTTCATCAGCATCCAAATATGAACAGGAGATAAGAAACATGTCATAAAACAATTAAAATAAGAATTGTTGGGACTTCCCTGGTGACACAGTGGTTAACAATCCGCCTGCCAATGCAGGGGACATGGGTTCGAGCCCTGGTCCGGGAAGATCCCACATGCCACAGAGCAACGAAGGCCGTACGCCACAACTACTGAGCCTGCGCTCTAGAGCCCGCAAGCCACAACTACCAAGCCCGCATGCCACAACTACTGAAGCCTGTGCGCCTAGAGCCTATGCTCTGCAACAAGAGAAGCCACCACAATGAGAAGCCCGTGCACCGCAACAAGGAGTAGCCCCCGCTCGCTGCAACTAGGGAAAGGCCGCGTGCAGCAACGAAGACCCAATGCAGTCAAAAAAAAAAAAAAATTGTTAATATTAGAAACGCTAATTTCATGCTACTTTCTCTAAGTGCTGCTTGACCTTGATTTCCAAACAAAGCTTTAGCAATCCCCACTCCCTATTTTCAGGGCTGCTCTACACCCTGGGGGTGCCTTTGGTAGCCGTCGGCCTCGTATTTCTTCTTCAGCAGGCTACAAATGCCCTGCTCACAAAACCACAGTACCAGCCTACAGGTTTTACCCCAGTAAAGGAAATGGGGCATCAGAATACCACAGACAGATGGGCGACGTGGCTCAGTTCTGCAGAAGTGTGAGCTGAGAATCCTCAGCACTGGCACCAACTCCAACCCCAGATGAAGTCTCAGAGGTCCACCCGGCAGCCCAAGTGCACTCCTACACATCAGCGGTGAGCGCAGCCCTGGGCACACATCTGTCTCCGTCAGCACCCCTGGGATGATGAACGGCTGGGCTCCCGTTCACAGCAAGGCCAGAGTCACCGATTTGCAAGACTAAACTTACCCACACGAAGGCATTTTTCCAAAGCCTTCACAGTGTGCATGGATTACTCTTATAACCAGGAAAACCCAATAAACAATATTAAAAAAACAAAAAGCCACCCGCAATGACTGCACCTCGCTCCCTTCGTGCAGGACGTGCTCACCACGGTACCCCTCCCCCATTCCCAGAGCTGTCTTCACTATTTTACCTCGAACTTTTTCTGTCACCTCCTCCACTGTGTTACCTACCAGGGCATAAAAGAGGCTTTTTACTTCCTAGAGGAAATAATTATGTCAATGCTCACACTTTTGGTTCATCTGAAAGGGAAAAAAGCACACCTGTAATGTGCCAGATTCTTTCACACACCATCTCATTTAGTCTGCAAAACAAACTCAGGAGCTAGTAATTATGTCCACTTCACAGGCGAGGAAACTGAGGTTCAGAGGGATTAAGCAATCTTCCCAAGGTCACCACTGTTTTCCTAGTGTAGACCTGGACTCTTGGACCCAGGGTTTTCTTTTTTGTTGTTGTTGTTTTTTTTGCGGTACGCGGGCCTGTCACTGTTGTGGCCTCTCCCGTTGCGGAGCACAGGCTCCGGACGTGCAGGCTCACGGCCCTAGCCGCTCCGCGGCACATGGGATCCTCCTGGACAGGGGCAAGAACCTGTGTCCCCTGCATCGGCAGGCAGACGCTCAACCACTGCGCCACCAGGGAAGCCCTGGACCCAGGTTTTTCTGCTTCCACTCTTTCTACTCTATCAGAATGTGCCATCTAAACGTCAGGGAGAAGAATATCTACCTTTGAAACACTGCTTCTGAAAATGGAAAGATTCCAAATATTTTTAAATGCTAAAAAACTTTCACTTAAGAGAAATGATAGTGAATTACTTTGAAATAAAAAGTACTGCCTTAGTTTAACAACTTCACAAATTTGCTTTTCCATATCATGTATCCTTAACTGAGGCATCCGTATATTTCACAAAATGGTAAAAAGACTAAAAATTTTCAGCTTATATATAAAAAACCAAAGATTTAAGATAAACTCATGGATTTAAATCTCTCTCAATTTTAGAAATGGGCCTCAGTTACAGTCTTAAGGAAGTTAACATCCATGGGATAATTGAGTCTGTAATCAGGTTTTTTTTTTTTTTAAATAAATTTGTTTCTTTTATTTATTTATTTTTGGCTGCTTTGGGTCTTCGTTGCTGCGCGCGGGCTTTCTCTAGATGTGGCGAGTGAGGGCTACTCTTCATTGTGGTGCGTGGGCTTCTCACTGCAGTGGCTTCTCTTGTTGCGGAGCACGGGCTCTAGGCGCGCAGGCTTCAGTAACTGTGGCGCACGGGCTCAGTAGTTGCGGCTCACGGACTTAGCTGCCCCGCGGCATGTGGGATCTTCCCGGACCAGGGCTCAAACCCGTGTCCCCTGCATTGGCAGGCGGTTTCTTAACCACTGCGCCATCAGGGAAGTCCCTGTAATCAGGTTTTTAAAAATTCAATTCGGGTGGAAAAATCATAAACGGGAGGTGGGTGATGGGGAGGAGAGACATTTAATTTCTTTTTAGCCTAAGTACTTTCCCCACAGGGGAACACGAAAAACCACATTCAAGTAAAGAGCAACTTTTTGTTTTTTTTAAAAAAAGAAAATGGAAATGCTTTAATAAAGGTAAAATAATTAAGACAAAATAAAAACTTTAACAATAAGTAACAATGAACTTTCACATCTGTATGCTATGCTCAAAAATGCTGGGAAACCTAACCAGGTCCAGGCTGGTAAACCTGCCTAAAACTATGTCCCATTCATGTTGGTTTAATCCCTGCCAAGTGTTACATATAAACTAATTATTTTATAGAATTGAATCTCTAGGAGGGAATTTTAGAACAGTGAAGGCACAGATATCACCACTTCCGCTTATAGTCTGGGGCTGAGGTCAGAAAAGGCCAGTCTCTACAACTCAAGGCAGGAGAATCGATGTACGATAATCACCCGTGTAAGCAGCGGCTGTCACAGGCACTGTGCATTGTGGCTGTATGGACATGGTGCCTCCTCCTTCCCCCAGATGAACCCTCACAGCTGCAGAGCTAAAGGGTGTTACGGGCCAGGCTTTGTGCTTAAAGCACCCTGAAAGGACCAGCCCGCTGCATCCTCCAGCAACCCGCTGGGGGAACACTATAATTTTTTTGGCGGTGCCATGTGGCTTGCAGGATCTCAGTTCCCTGACAAGACGTTGAACCCAGGCCCACGGCAGTGCAAGTGCTGAGTCCTAACCACTGGACCGCCAGGGAATTCCCACTAACATTGTATTATTATTTTTACTTTCTTTTATTGAGGCGAGAGTCATAAACAGTATCATCAGCCCATCTCAGAGATAAGAAAATCAATGCTCATAAGGGCAAGTAAATCGTCCAAGGTCACATAACCACGAGAGGCAGAGCTGAGATCTCAATGTTTCCTTTCTAGAAGGCTCATTCCACTACACTGACTTCAATAAAATTCTCTCTGGGGAAACTACAAGCTAAGAACCACACTCTGCACCAAGGTTCCTGACCTTGGATCCACAGAGGGTCCTCACGGAATCTGCGAACCCCTGACACTGTGTGCCAAGTGACATGGACCAGCACGTTCCTGGTGACAGGGGCCCCGGGCTATACCCCAACCTTGAGGTGGGGACCACTGCCCAGCGTTGCCAGCACACCCCAGGCCCTGCCTGGAGTGGTGGGCGGCCTTCCTCTCTAACCTCCACTGGATGAGCCCTAGCAGGGCTGTTCTGTTGACTTCACATGATTTTTCTGGGCCGGTGTCACTTCAGCTGTGGTGATCTCACAGAGGTACCGAGGGCTCTTGGATCAAGTCCCCCGCGTGGACATCCTGGCGGTGGCATACGGCGGCCACACCTCTAAGCCTCCCTATTCCTCCTGTGGAGCGTCCCACTCCCTGAACTCAGACGCTGCTACGGGATAAACAAGAACACAAAGGTATCTGCCCCATCTCAACTCTCACTACCCAAATATTGGCTGTAATGGTTTGCAAAAAACATTAGCCCATATTGGCTATCCAAGTGAAAAATGACGAATACGTAAGAGCCTGCAGCAAAATCACTCAAGTTCTGAGTGTCTGAACCGAACAGAGGCCGCAGCACACGCCTCTGTCTTAGCCGACTGCTGGGAACTTACACTGTTTAGGTGTGTAGCGTGCTACCACCTCATTTTCCCCACTTTATTAGGTGAAACTGTCTCCTCTGGAAGTGGAGAAGTCCATGAAGAAAGCAGGTGAATTTCAGAGGCTGAGGAAATTCCCTCTGTTAGGAAAAAAAAAGCTGAAGCGACAGTCTATTGAGAAGGGTGATCATATAAAAGATATAACCTCGGCCAAGTACGTGCGTCCCTTTCCTGTGTATGGTTTTTGCATTGGGTGGGTGACAAAGCACAACTTGTGAAATGCGTGGGTTCCACAAAGTCTCGCAGTCTTCTGGAGCATGGGAGCTATTTTTATCAAGCTAGTGAGATTCGTGTATGGAGGATGCACAGCCAGTCAGCGTGATGCCACTGAGCACATGCTGGTACAGATGGAGAGTTAGAAAAGTGATGGGGAACGAGGATTTGGTGATGGACTTCGGTTTTAAAGCCAGCCTGAAAGGTCTGGGAGATTTACGTAAGCCTGACTGCAGCTGCATGTAAGGCTGCAGCAGCTCCCCCAGTGAACCCCTGAAATTCCTGAAGGTGGCTGTACTGCAGAGCAAATTTCCAATCTTGATGAACCTGAGCTTTTTTTTTTTTTTTTTTTTTTTTTTGAAAACAAAGCACATGGCCTGCTACACGGTGTTCAAACCATACACAGGACGCAGGAGAACCTTTCACACAAGGCTTCTTTGATGGAAGACGATGCTTCTAGGCATCCTTCTAGAGCTTTCAGTTACGGATGATAACTGTGGTCTTTCGGCTTTCACACACCTTTAATGTAGCCTTTATTCCAAGGAGTCACCACAACCTTCAAAGCATATCAGCTGATGATACAGTACCTGGAGAGCTGATAGGGTGATTGAACTTTGATGAAGGATTCATGGCAGAGTTTTTACCATAAAGGCATTCGATGCACTGATTAGGCTTGGAAAGGAGTGTCATCACAAATGATGAATGAAATAGGAAAGAAACGGCTCTTGAAATTTTTTGCTGACTTTCAAGGTTTTGATAAAGTGATGATTCAAAGCCAAGTCTTCTGCTGTGTAAGGAGCCTGGAGTAAGCAAGGCGGACGGTAAAAATGCTGACCAACTATTCTCATCACTGATGAAGAGCAAGAAGGTTGCCACAGGCTCTTTCAAACTGATGGGCTTTACTGGTCTGAAACAGGGAAGGAAGGGGGGCTCCATCACCTGGACTCCAAATCTTTAAGACGCAGTTCACGCCGACGAAACGGTCTGGCTGCCAGAGCCGTATCGTGAGGAGAAGAGAAGCAACCCCTTAAACACTCAACCTCAAGCAGAATCTTAGTCATCAGGAGCTCTAAGCCCAAGGTCAAGGGAATGCAAACAGAGGCCCATTTTGGTGTTTTCATCCCACAGCTTCCCAAGATGGCTCTTAGCCGTCCGCTTCTGGGGTACTTGGTGTCAAGGAGAAGGCTGCCTGCCGGCCAGTGATGTGAATCTGGGCGCTGGGTGCATCTCAGACATTGTTCACCGTCCCCTCCACCCATCGCCCCCCGACCCCCACTGCCCCTCAGGCAACTCTTCATTGTCATCTAAACAGTTTAAAAAGGGCTTCGTTTACTGTGTATTACCAAATAGTAATTGCATTCACTATATATCTCCATTCATTTTTTCAGCACATATTTTTATTTTATAACGAGTTCAGTGAAGCAAGGTACAATTCTTATCTAATCCTGTACAATGTTGTTGTGTACTCTACACGACACGCCCACCAATAAGTTCACCGAGAATTAAATAATGAGGTAACTTGTTTCAAAATGCTTCCTATGATACAGAAATCCTTGGTAGACAGTAAATGGAATTTCCCATGTTTGCGAAATTGGCTGAAGTTTCTGGAGAGATGGAGACCTGTGGACAGAGGCCCCTCTTCCAGGACAGACTGGATGTGGGTAATGAGAGAGGCAGGGGCACAGTGGTGCCCTGAAAACTGCAGAGCCACCTGGAGAGAAACTCCCATTTCAGGTAAAATCAGAGTAACAGAAGGTGCCTGTTGCTGGGAGAGTCCTCTTGGGACTGGCCTAGTCCAGCCCCCTCGCAGAAAGGACGAGGCCCCGAGGCGAGAGGCCCGGGATCAGTGAGTGGCCAATCCAAGGACAGAACCTGCAGTCCCCGCACAGGGCTCTTCTTTCCTAACTCTAGCTTTTAACACACTAACACTTTCTGGTGCTGGGAGTGCCACGCTCTTTAAAACTTTTACATTAATGGGCAATTACAATAAAAGGACTCTTTACCTCGCCCTGAACTTGGCTTATACAGGACACTCAGTAATATTTGCTGGTGAAATCAGAAACCTGAGGCTGAGTTGTTAAAGTTCGTCTTGATCGCTCCTCTCCCGTGAAGAAACCCAACGGCTTAGAATCACCTCCTGTAACCAATCAAAATACAAAGGCGACTGAATTGCAAAAACAGAAATGAACGAACACGAACACGCTAGGCATACAGCATCGCACAGACATTTTGTAGAGAGCTGTCTGTACAAGGATGACACCTGCTCCCCATTCCTTGTAACTAGACATTTGGAGAAATGTGAATGTAGCAAACAAACCTTATGTGGAAACATCTACAGCATCTACAGTAATCACCCCAAGATTTTAAGAGCTACCCTTGCTGTGGTTTCCTACCAGCACATTTCAGGAACAGGAGTGCTGGTGCGAACCCACTGTTCAACACAGAACCAGGTCTGTGACGGTGCCGGTGTGTCTGGGGCAGCACGGGGAAGGGAGACGTGGGTCTCGACTGGCACTTTATGAAGAGCTGAGCCAGTGGGTGTGAGCAGGATAAACAGGGGGACAAGGCGCTTGGGCCCTGGGGACCAACGGCTGGCCTGCTGCGGGATGGGCAACTGGATGGCGGGTCGGCAGTGCTGGCAGAGAAAATCCCGCCAGGAAGATGCGGGAGCCTCAGCCCAACACAGGCCCCCAGCAGCCAGACAAGACGTTCAAGGAGGCGGCGAGTCAACACCGACCCTTGTCGTTTCAGGGGCCGAGACCCGGGAGAGGTCTGGGCTGCTTCCGGCAGGGGCGGAAACCAGAGGACATCACAGGACAAGGCGCCACAGGGTTAAGAGGGAGCGAGGCTGGGTTCAGAGGGGAAGGACCTGAGAGGGCTCTTGTCGCCGAGGCGAGACGCTTTTCCTGTTCTGCCTCGGGACCACAGGTTCCAAAGGACGCAAGACGCTGGGCAGAGCCTTTGTGACGACATGAATTTGTCTCCGAGTTCACCTACCTGAACTTTAATTTGTTTCATACATTCTGGTGACTCCATTTCTTTGTCAGTCATGGTGGAGGGTTTAATCAAATAGCACAGCATAAATTCCTACTGAGACATGAAAAACAAACTCCGTATCCCACAAAACAAATCCAAATCTGGGCAGGAAATGCGGCCGCCTCCACCCCCTCTCAGTGTGTGCTACTCGAAGTTCACAAAGCATGTCCTTTTCCTCCCGGTAACATAACCAGGCCCCACTCTGGACCAAAGACCTGCCGTTCAGTCATCGTTGACATGGCAGGAGAATGCAAACAGAGCACATATGCTGATTATAAACACAGCATTTAAAATATTCAATACTGCAAACAGTTTAGACCCCTATTTCTCTAGGACAAAGGTACTTTCACAGGATTAAGCCTAAGCAACGTAGCCTGCACCCAGGCAGCTGTCATCTGGCCCTGCAGGCCCTTCCGGCCTCAATGCCCTGCAGGCCTCCAGCAGCTGTGGGAAGGAGAACTCAAAGAATTACTGAGTAACAGAGAACACACAAAACTTTCATTCTCTGTAGTCCTGGTATGAGATGAAATGTCCCTCCTAACTTGACAGCAGTGGGATATCGGAGAACACAGGCGGGGCAGTCACGTGGCTCTGGGTTTGAATCCCAGCTCTGCTCATGAGCTGTGTGTTCTTGGATTGGTCACCCAACATCTCTGACTCTGATTCCTCACCCTTCGGATGAGGATAATAACAGGGTGGTGAGAAAAGACATAAGGTGTTTAGCGATAAATATTAATTCCCTTCCTCCTCTCTGCTACCTATGAAAACAAACACGTCAATGTTTTTTGAGTCGTCTGTGAATGAGTGGGAGTGGATTCTGAGCACGTGCTGGTTGGGCTTGCCCCCGGGAAGGAAGGCAATGCCCACTGACACCCATCACCATGGGAAACCTCGGAGCTCCGTCCCTGGAGCTGTGCACCAGCTGGTGGGGGGAAAAACGGAGAGGAGGACCAGCTTCCAGAGCTTCGTTCACATAAATGCTCTGCGGTCCCTAC